ATATTTGTATGAATAAGCAAGCTAAGTTGAAATGTTTATGACTATGACCACGTAGTATGATGATTATAATTAATCTTTCTCGATTACTATCGATTTCTAAAAATATCACAATGTGTTTATTTCATATTCCCAGTACAGACATGTAAAAATATTAACTGTGCTTAACATTGAAATTTGCAATTGAAAATAAATACTGTAAAATAATTTGCAATCCAATGGAAAATCTCAATATTAAAGTGAAATCATGTTTTAAAACTTGGAAATCTTTTTAATGCACTTTTCCTATGAGAAACTGACTTACAATTGCACACAAAGTGCGAGTAAACGGTAATATTGTGTTTAAAAACGAATACTGTATTCGGAATACAAATAGAGTAACAAAATGATTGAAATATTTGGAAATACTGTATTTAACTTGAAAATAAATTTGCATAAATTTCATTTCGCCGTTCAATCGTTTTATAAGACAACTAATATACAGAATAATAATTTTTCCGATTCTAATATTAGTAATAGTGATCTTGATATTCAGGAATATGACTCCGATTCTGACATTGAACTTATTTATGCGTAAATCCAATGCTTTTATAGATTCAAAATAAATTTCACTCAAAATAAGAGAAGAGTTTAGAGACTAAAACCAAATACTGTTTATTGTTTGCACCGAAAGACCGAAAACACGAATACATTCTCTTTATATTTACATTCAAACAAAATGAGATTAAAATCGACTAAAAGTGGACTAAAAATCCGCGCAAAGACTGCAAAACTCGTGTTAATCGATGAGTCCTTTGGCGCGCAATTCGCGGATCTGGCGGACGGCCACTGCGGCCACGAGAGCCGCGCCTCGTCCGCTGCCATCTTCCGACAGCATGAGTTCGAAGCGGTACTCGGGTCGCGTGAGTTCGGCTATCTTTTTGGCCATCAGGTCGTGGAAGTGCGGGTGATAGCGGTAGACGGAGCCGTCGACGCCCACGACTGTCTTCTCGCGACGCATTTTGTTGAGGACCGTCGCGACGGCCGCCGACACAAGATGCGCGGCGCGCGTGGAGATGCGCTCACAGATCATCTGAATGGAGAAGAGGTCGTCGTCGTCGGCGTGGCTTAAGTCCATTTCGGCCATCGCTTTGCGCGTCTGCGCCAACTCGCCCTTCGCGTCCGACTCGATCCACGAGACGTATGCCGACTGAAAGCAGTGCGGAGTGAACAGCTTTTCGGAGCCCTTGCCGTCCAATAGGAGCGCCTTCCGCGTCAAGTCGGCGACAATGCTTCTGACCATCTCTCCCATGTACATCCCGGAGATCATCTTCTCGAACAGTTGGCGCCCTTTGTTCAGGGAATACGTGTTCACCTCGTCGTCCCAATCCGTGCGCACGAAGTCGAGCACTCCGTTGTCGCCGAAAGCGCCCCATTCCGTGTTGACGATCACTTGGCGCGGCTCATGCGCGAACTCGTCCTCCTCGAAGAGCTCGGCGTTGTCGGCCTCCTCCATATAGCAGGCGTTGGTTCCCGTGCCCACAATGACACCCACTCGACACTCGCTGTTCTTGTGCGCGCACGACATCAGAGTGCCTGCAGAGAGCAAAACAGGTAAGTATTCGGCAACTCATTCAAAGTCTCACCCGTCGTGTCGTTGACGACAGCCATGACGTCGATCTCGACGTCCTGTCGCTTGCGAATGCTCGCGCGCAACAGCTCGACCACGTCGTGCCCCTCCACGCCTTTGCACGCGAAGCCCTTCGTCCACTGGACGAGTCGGGCGCGCGTCAGTCCCTCCTGACGGCACGGGAACGAGAAGGTGAAGCCGAGCGGCAGTTTCACGTCTTTGAGACCGCGTTTGTGCATAAAGTCGGCCAAACAGTCGGCGATGTGGTCGAAGAGCTGTTCGCCCGATCCGAGCATCACGTGTTGCGGAACCGAAAAGATCTGATTATCCATTTTGAAGTCCGCGCCCTCGAGTTCGATGAGAAGGACGCGGAAGTTCGTGCCGCCCAAGTCCAGCGCCAGGAACTTGCCCGCCTCTGGGGATTAACCACTCATTAGCACGTCAACACACACTCACTCGCGACCTACCGGTGCCGTTGGGAACGTCGCGCACGAAAGTGGGAAACATTTTCACGGAAGCGATTGGATTCGTCTCGCGCTTCAGGCCTTCGTTGAACTCTTGGAGGAGAAGAGCGGACACGCGCTCCAACTGGTCGTTGGAGAGCACGAGCTCACGGGTGGCCACTTCGACCTGCGGACAGACATCGGGTTAGTTTGGGACGCAAGCGGTGGCCGTTTGGCCGCTATTCACACCTTTTGTCGCTTTTCGTTCATTTTGTGACGACTTCTCGAGAATACGACTAAAAGTCAAATGATTTTTGACGTCACAGACAGTGATGTCAACGAAAGCCTCGATTTCGTCATCACTGCTGTAGTGGCGCCCTCTCTGTGGTGGCGCCCCCTCTGCGCAGACGCAGAAACAACACAAGTTTTTTCGGATGAGAAATGAGTTTTTATTTGACATGAATTTCAATTAATTTATGACTAGTTTTTCGTTCAATACTTTTGCGTTAATTATAGTTAAAGTTCGTGTTCTTGTCGTCGAGTCTGCGCTCTAAGTCGGCCAATACTGGGAGCGGTCGTCGCGGCCAATGAGACGCCTTCTTGAGCGCGAGGGACGCGTTCCAAAGCGCGTCCATCTTCAGAACGTACGGAAAGACGTTTTGTTCGATCCATTCTAAGGGAAAGGCGTGTGAAATACGGGCGCAAAGCGAGCGAAGACTCACCGAAAACGGTGTTCTTGTCGTACACTTCGGAGAGCGCGCTCTTCGCCGTTCGCATCAAAGCCTGCAGCGAATAGTAGACGGATTGGAAGTCTTGAAGACCTTCGTCGACGCGATAGGGATTCGAGAGGTTGTGTCTGACGTTGTATTCCGTTAACCACGCCTTGTGTTCCGTGACGTCGAACTGCCGAAACCAATGAGAGGTCAGCAAAGAAGGCATTAATGAATTCAAAGTTCAAACCAAGTATTCGGAGACGCGTTTCACGACTTCCGCGTGACTTTCCGTGAGGCGGAAGATGGCGGCGCCCGCGAACTGACAGCCGCCGGCGCGCCGCCACAGGTGCTCGTCCTCCGCGAGTGCGTCGTCCGAGAGAGCGGGCGAATCGGCGGGACAGCGGAGCGCGCGGTCGAAGCGCTGGAAAACGCGTTTCGAGTCAAAGGCGCCGAAAGTGACGGAAATGAGCGAAAGCGCGAGCGAAGGGATGGCCGCCGGAAGCAGTTCGCAAAGTGCCGCCAAATGACTGCAAAGAGAGAGGAGTTGTGAAGAAAAGGC